CCGCTACCGCGCCGCTGCCGCGATGACTTTTAAAAAAATCTGCCGCTACCGCGCCGCTGCCGCGGTGATTTTTTTTAAAAACCTGCCGCTGCCGCGCCGCCACCGCCACCGCGGCAGCGGCAGCGGCAGCGGCAGCGCCGCGATGGACATCTCTGATGAGGAGTGTGGATATAAGTGAAGAGAAGATTTACACCACACCAGCCACACTCACATTCATATCCTAAAAATAATCGTCATATTGCAAAAATAAAGAAACTAGTACTGGTTTTTGAAAACGGTGCGCTCGAAGAGATTGCTTTTAACTTTTCAAGGAGAGGTGATAGGGACCTGCGGTTTTCATTGTTCGATAGAGCACAGCAGGGTACGTATTACTATGAAATAACCAGACCTTCAAGTAAGGTTTACCAATGTAAACCCTCGGATGTAAGCTTGGCGAGATTGCCATTCCCTGAGCATATGTCGGATTTTGATTTCCAAATAGTGAAGTTAATAGCCGGATCGAGATCTACAATTCTAGATTAGCCCCAGGTCTGTATCTTTTATAGCTCAGGAGTTGTATCCATTTTACTGGTAGCCCCTACCTAATTTTCCAACAAATTTGCGGAAAAAAATCACTTTTTTCAAAATTTTTTGTTGAAAAAAATAATTTTTCCAACTTGTTAAGGCGTAGTTTTTTTAGATAATTGACATAAAACTTTGACAAACCATGTCAGAAAAATTTTTATTATACGGTTCAATGTGCCTTGATCTCCTCTTTCCAACGGCGAAAACCGCAGATCTCTGTCCCCTTTTCTTCAAAAGTTATAAGCAATCTCCCCGAGCGCACTGTTTTCAAAAACCGGTAATAGATAGATTCATAATATGACCTACTGTACTATATTAAATTCACAGCAGCTGAATATAACAATCTAAAAGACTAATTTTTGATTATAGAACGAAATACCAATTTCGGAAACAGTTTTTGATGCAGATTTTATAACGAACTTGGTTACAAAAATTGAAGAAGAAGAAAAAAAATTCTTGTGATTTCCTAAAAAGGCACTGTTTTTCGATAACAACTGTACTTGACCTTTCTTTGAGATTTTTTCACGTGAGAAAAGCGTTTAAAAATATTCAAATTACTATATTGTTACTAAAATTAGTGTTGGCGTGAGTGGATGTCGGTCTGACTGAATAGGTGATTCATACCATCACACTCACACCCCACAATCGTTCAAGATGAATGTTTAAAGAAACAAAATTTCAGAAAAAAAATATATAATCATCTTCAGAACGCATTCTTCTTATATGCTTTACCATCCGAGTAAAACAGATTCGTATTTAACACATCCAATTCAAAATCATTATTCATTTTTGAGTGAATCATTGTTTCAATAGCGAAATGCATTTGCTTTATTCAGTCTAGATACACTCTTTTTTTCATGACATACTTTAGGCTATTCAATGCTGGTAAAAAAGCCTATTAATAATATTTCTTTCAATGATGATTTTATTTAAAAATAATCTCTGGAAAATTAATATTGATGTATTATAATAAGTGTTAAAAAGGTTAATAGGCAAATTAATTGTAAAGTAGTCTTCTTGAATAATGTCTCTACGTTGATAAAAAAGTTTATTTCTTATCGTAGTTTTCTCAGTCGTCTTTGGTGTCTTACTACTGAGGCGAGCTGATTCTGATTAAACATCTTGTTCAATTGCGTGAATATAGTAAACATGCCAATTGCATGTAGAGGCACCATGACAGCAGATGTAGCAATTGTCATTAAAGCCACAGATTGTCTACATGCTTCTTCCTATAAATAAAATGAAATCAAGAAAGAAAAATATCAACACTGAAAATGCCACGAAAAGACGTACAAAAGCTTTTGGATCCATGATTGACACATCAGGAATTGAAGAAGCTGTTGTACTCATCGTAACGGTTGTGGCACCTGAAATATATGGATTCGTTATCTAATTTATTAAATCAAATAATCGAATATTACTGGATGTAGTGGTTGTGGTTGTAGTGGACGCAGTAGTGGTTGTGGTTATAACAGTAACAGAAGTAGTAACATGAAGACCAGTGGTTGTTAGCTTTCAAGAAGACAAAATTATATGTTACGATACGATTACTTATGACATGAAATTTCTTGGAACTGGAGGGTCCAACATATAGGTATCATAGCCACTAGTACACCCTTTACCTTTTATTGATTTTCAAAAACTTTTCAAAGAAAATTTCGGTTATTTCAACGAACTTGCAACTCAGAGGAGTATATTTTCATCCTGATTGAAACTGATAGAGAGTGAAGTTAACTGCGATGGTTTTATTAAGAAAAATCCAATGAAAGAAGTCATCTTGTTGCTACGGTATCCTCATCTTGAATAAGCAAAAAATCTATTAAAAATAACTATGATACAAAAGAACTATTCTCCTTTTGGATATTTTAATCGTTTAGTGCCGTATTATGTCAGAAGTTGGTAAAACAATTTGAGATCTCTTCTCATTAAAAATGAGTTATGGAATTTTACCAATGTGTTGACAGTTGTCGTTGATAGTGGTCGAGTTGTTACAGTCCCTGTTGTTGGAGGTGTAGTAGTAGTTGTAGTTGTACTTGATACACCAGGATCCCATATATTGAAGGCCCAAAACGTGGGATCAGTTATCGGTGCTGATTCAGGACCTTTACATATGAAAAATTAGAAAATCATCACATGTAACAAGCTATATAAGAAAAAAAAAAGAGAAAACGTACCACAAAATTCGATTCCACTCGCCACTCCTGAAGAAATATAAAATTACTGTACGAGAAAACAGTGCTCAGTTATACAAATTTACCACTATCAAAAAGAACATAATAACTACGTCCTGGAACCCATGAATAGCTCGCTATGATACTGATCGTATCTCCACTATACAATATATTTGATTCCCATCCTGCATCAAATGTTTGTACTGCTGTGTTAGTTGAAGCATCCATAAACTTTATGTAAGTTCCATTTCGAGTTGGACGATGAACATCACGAGTGGCTATGAATAGACAAACAAGACTTCTCTCTACATTCTACACATCATTTGATGAGTAATAATAGTAGTTGTACAAAAACTGAAGAAATAAATTACGAATATCTATTAGTTTCTATCCACACTTTGCAATCTATTAAATAAGCATGATTCTGGTTAAATGACAGGTTGCTTATTACAAGCAATAAGAATTTGTTGAGAAAAAAAACACCATTTTTTAAAATTTACCTTGTATCGAAAATACTGAGTGATTTGAAAATATAGTTCCAATTGGTGAAGCAGTGCCTTGAACAGCTGCTGTTCGGATAAGATCCGGTGAGTCAAATCCTACTAAATACGTGATACACCAAGCATCTGATTGCAAATTATTGCTATCAACAGCACCAGCACAAAAACCTTGTGGACCATATTGATTGTCTTCTGGTGTCCATGTGAGTGTCATAACATAAAGTCCTAAAAAGAATTTTTTATTGATCGTCTAGTAATATAAAAAACTGCAGAACTTACCACCTCCTTGACTAACGACCGCACTATGCTGCATTCCAATAGGTGAACTTGTTACATAATTAGTAATAGTCGCTCCACTACAGAAAGATTGTGCAATGACCCGTTCGGTAACTGTTACGTCTAGTTTAGCAAAATAATTGATAATGCTGAATGATTAATCATCTGATGATTTTCATTAATATCTATCTCAACTTATACTATCAGGCTTAATACCAAGAAAAAAAAGAATTTCTAAACATTTTTATGCGGTCTGAACAATCCCATAAACATTCGAGTTCTTAAAAAGAGATGAAAAATATTTCTGTAGGTAACTAGTCATCAAAATGAAAAGTTTTTCATGCAGAAATAGATAACAACTGATTCATCCAGTGAATAGGCCAAATTATTTTGAATAAAAATATCAGTCTGATTGAGAGTTTGTGTTCTCGTTTTGATGATTTATTAACGGCTTTCTTTTGTTCTTCGATCGTGATTACTAATCTTCAGCTAACTCTGAGTTAATTTTATGACAATGCTGTACTAGAAATAATATCATGTTGGAAAAAAACGACGTTTTTTTTGCTCAGATATGTAACTGTAGGACAAAGTAATTTAATATTGAATTCAAAAGTTGTTTAACATGAACGAAGTTATTTAAAGTCATACAATATCAAATGGAATTGCTATATCGATAAACGTAAAGGAAATCGTTTTTTAAAGACAATGCTTGAATGAATAGTTAAAAGAAAAGAAAAAAATGCAGTTACTATATGTCTCAGTTATGTAATTCTTTTTTTGAAAACTGTCAATTGTTTTTGAAGAGTAAAACCATTTTGCATCCTTCAGTTATATCTATCAATTATATAAAAGAACTTAAAGTCTAGATACTGGCACGTGATTTATATATTTATCAAATCATTTGATAGCCTAATATTTCTACACTAGTGTTAGAAACGTTAATAGAGTTATTCTCTTATCAGAATTTAACTTACTGATTGGTGTTCCGATACAAGCTAAAATGAAAATATTCAATTAAATATTATATTCAAACGAATAGTAGATCACAAATTAGAAAATGAAGGTCTTCTTATTTTAATTTCCAAACTAAAGGTACATGCTATGCAAATTTAATTGTAAATTATTTCAATGTTGTATTTTTTACTGAAGAAATATCAAGAATTTGTATGAAACATGACTTTGAAAGTAAAGTAAATCTATTTTCGAAATGTATCGGAAACAAATCATACCACGGTTTGGTCGTTCGCCGATAATTTGTGGTCTCGTTGTGCAACTGCTAGTCGACGAATAGGCATAAAAGAGAAATTGGATGGGTACAGAACTCATTGGAGCAGTGGAAGATGAGTCGTAATAGTCTTCAATTTGTAATGCGACAACATAGTACCATCCAATACGGGTAGTTGGTAATGTAAATACCAACGTACAATTTTCTTCATAAAGTGTTGAAATCCCATTCAGTCCGAAACAAGCGTCTTCACATTCATCCCTACGATTGTAATTTGTGCCTGAATTTGCATTTGACCAACGGCATTTGAGAATATCAGTGCCATCATTATCGGACATCTATACGTTTCAATAAAAGACAGATCATTTTTACAGTGGCCACGAACATGCGAGCATAAAATGCCGATCTCTATTTATTTTCGAATAGTTTTGTCTACAAAGACATTACCTTCTTTTTCGGAATGTGTATATCGAAGAGATAAAGCAATTATCATGTAGTGCTTATTTTTTCACCTCTCAACTGTCATGTTATAGGATGATAACAAAAAGTCTAATTTATGTGAACGCAATACTCAAAAACAAAGCTTGAATTACCTGTATAATATGCGTTAATTGTTGTCCTACAGGTTTGAACAGAACTGGCAATGTATTAGTTACAGGACTGCTATTTATATACCCATCAGGTCTTGGTGTCAGGTTTATTCGATTCATTACAGACCAGTATCCATTAGCTGCCGGATACAAATTCGGTCCAAACCACGCATTGCTCGTATACCCGATTGTAATAGATGTTGTTAGTGGTAACGTAATTGTATCATAGCGTTCACCAGCCCATGATCGAACCAACGAATTGGTATCACAGTCAGTGCTTGTCATAATTGTTGATAAACCAGTTGACGGAAACGTTGAACTGGTGCAGTTGACATAACAGTATACCTTGTTATTAACAGGTATTGTTGTTTTACTAACGACATTGGCTTCAGTACAGAGACTGCTAAAGCCGCTCCAGTTACGATTCCAAAAGTATCGTTGATGTACTTGAATTTGAACGGTAGAACCACTTGGTACATTATTTAATGGTCGCCTGAAAAATGTCAAGTTTCAGTAACTATTTTGTGATAGTATTTAATTTCAGAGTATTTTATTAGGATCTGCATCAGAGTTATACGCCGCAGTGGACAACGAGACTACTACAGAAGCAACCGTGCCATTATCGCACCAACCGTTGAATTCTATCGAAAGCAACTTTTGCAAAGAAAAAAAAAACTTTGTCAGTTCAGTCACATAACGGATCAAACTGTGGAACTCATAAACTTTGATGGTTAGAAAGAACGAGGGACGTTTTCGGTGCATTTCGGCCTAATTAGAAAATGAAGACAGATTTACCTGAAACTTTCAGCAAATACTCAACTTTATGATAGTAGTCATCCCTCAAAATTTCAGCTTGATCCGTTAAACTTTTCCTTTACTTCGACACATCAAAAACCTAGACCCTAAATATACGTAAAAATACCCTATAGAGGTAACCTTGTGGACCTTCGTTCTCCACTATACGATTCAGACCCAGAATGATTTTTCTAGGGTGGCTGGAAATCATTGAGGGCTACAATATTGCAAGGACATGATGTCCAAAAAAACCTGCCTTGGTATCACTGTGAAGTACACAGTCTCAAAAATTCATGAAAAAGCCCTACAGATGCAACCTTATGGAACTTCGTTCTACACTATACGATTTAAAACTACAGTGACTTTTCGAGAGTCCGTGGAAATCCGTAAGGGCTACAATATAGCAAGCATATTAGGTTGAGCGAAACCTGCTGTGGTATGACTATAGGGTACATAGTCCCCAAAATTCATGAAAAAGTGCCTTAGAAGTAACCTTGTGAGCATTCGTTCTCCGCTATTTGATTCAAACGTGGAATGACTTTTCTGGGTGTGAGATGTTAGTCCCGCCATAGGGTGGGTGTGAAGTTGGTGTTCCTGTAGTGATAGAAAAGACCCACACCCAGACTCACTCGCATCAGTCAACATCCACACTCACCCTCACGTGTATCACTTACAAAAATAATATCCTTCATAGTGGATTGATAAAGTGGCATCCAAATTCGCATGGCACATAAGCCAACCCAATACTTCAAACCCCATATTATGTACTACGATTGATAATCATCTGATGACACTAACTAGTGCATCCTCATGATAACTAAACACATCCTTCCTTACACAGTGGACATCTACATAGTTCTCTTAGTAATTTACGGTGTCGAACGTTCTTAACATTCAGACAGCTCCTAGAAAAATATTTCGAAGCCTGATTCCAATACTGTAGGACAAAGATATCCAATATCCCCACTATGATAATTTTTACTCCTAATTTAAATCCTATGTACATCATCGTGTTGTCTTAGCAGCTTTTGCTCACGTTCAGGTGTGTGCGATACCGTAGTCCAGAGTGATTACTAGTGATCCTGAAAAACTACTCTGCATGCGAACCACATACTGTGGAACGAAGGTCCACAAGGTTACCTCTATCGGGTTTCGTCACAAATTTTTGAGACTGTGCACTTCATAGTGATAGCAGGGCAGGTTTTTTTGGGGACCCATGTCCTTGTAATATTGTAGCCCTCAATGATTCCCAGTCACCCTGGAAAAATCATTCTGGGTCTTAATCGTATAGTCGAGAACGAAGTTCCACAAGGTTACCTCTATAGGGTATTTTTACGTATATTTAGGGTCTAGGTTTTTGGTGTGTCCAAGTAAAGGAAAAGTTTAACGGATCAAGCTGAAATTTTGAGTGATGACTACTAACATAAAGTTGAGTATTTGCTGAAAGTTTCAGGTAAATCTGTCTTCATTTTCTAATTGCGCCGAAATGCACGGAAAACGTCCTCCGTCCTTAATGGCATATTGTCAAAGGAATTAAAATAATTTATTTTGAAAAATGTCGAATCAATGAATAAATCAAAATTTTACCTACTTTTATAGTTGATATGCGCGCTCTGAAATATTATCATCTGGAAAATGTTTGCATTTAGCATTACCGTTCTATCAATGTATTAGAGCCATTAGATATCTTCAGGCTGAGAAAATGTCTTCTGTATTGTCAGATACATGCCTAATACATAAAGTTTTTTCTCGTAGCTATAATATACACGGTACACATCGTAGGAAGTGATAAATATTATTTTATTCTTCGTTTCGTCAGTTCTATCATCCTATTGGTCTGCTGTACGAATTACTTTAATCGCTTAGTCAGTTACCACGCACACCGGCCTGTCTCTCGACGAATTTTCACATATACTGTTGAGTTTTGCGTAAACTTAAAATTGAATAAGTTCACATTTTTCTATGTCAGCCCTATTCTGACTTTGAAGGATCCATAATACCACCACTCTACTAAATGACATTGTGTTAACTATCAAAATCTACAATTTTTATACTAATTAAAATGCTATCAAAAAGTTCTGACCAGCTATGCCCTGTTTATAGGACCCATGAACGGCAGAATGAACGTCTGAAACCTCGGTGTAAAGCTAAACTCATCATTTTCTTCGAAAATAATACATCTGAATTCTACAAAAGAATATATAAAAGCTGCTGAAATTTTAAGTGAACGGATTTAATGTTGGCAGATTAATTTTTTATTAGATATCGTTCGCTTTATTACCTCACTTGGGTAGTTATTTTGTTAAGCTTATGAAATAAATCGTAATCGATCTGGATTAAAATTTACCCTGATAGCAAATCGATATATCTCAAAACTTAGTGAATGCCACCGGGACGTGCATAATATTTAATTTCACCTTGAGCCTAAATTTTTGCAAATTTCACTACCAACTAGGTTACAATTAAAACAAGCATTCTATAAGTATATATATCTACATGTCCCTGGTTATATCTTGACTAATTAAATATTTTTTCGTGGTATTTTCAACTTTTTATATTTATTCATATCAGAAGATTCAAAAATTAAAAACTTCTCTAAACGAAATATTACGGCACCGAAAATATAGGAAAAAAGTTGATGAAAAAATCCTCCAATTACCATTAAGCGCAGTCGATTGGTTGTCGACAGACAACCACGTCACTCTTCAAGAAGGCTTTCTGTGGGTACCTTCCACCGTTGCCACCTTGCTTTTTAGGCGCAGCACGTGATACTAATTGGAATAGCGTTATACGAAAATGATTTGTGATTTTGATTTAATTTTAAACGTGACTTAAGATTTTTATTCTTAGCATTTTGATGAATTTATTTTCCGAAACGCTTTTGTTTTGATGGAAATAGACTGAAGACTTTTATCAGTTAATTTTTTTGCATAATTTTAACAACTGTTCCATTTTTGAGGCCTTCATGAAAACAAGTTCTAATGGCAGTAATCGAAGGGACATATACGATAATATTGAAGAGGAAAAAAACTGATAAATGATACTAGGAGTCATTTTGAAATCGTTAAAATTAAACAAGCTAAATCGATAGCTAAAATTATTCATGTAAAACATTTCCAATTCTTTATGAACTTGAGAATGACGACCTTGTTTTCATTTCGATCTAATCCTCTGAGACTTATACGCAGATATTCATCCTCATGACCATTATTCTTTGTCGAAAATAATCAGATTTCAACGGTCTACGAATGTAGCAAACTTCACACTACTGCATGGAAATTATTGAGTCATAAAACCTACAGAATTTTGTCTCACATGGTGTTAAAAATACATAGATGAAAACATGATTTAACAATTTCATTAAATATTTTATCTACTTCTAAAGTTCTCAGATTCCTGTACCACAAAGAGTATACAGGAACCGACGTTCTATAAAATACACTATTCCAATATCTTGACCAATACCGCATTCTAAAATAGTAATTAAAAGCAAACCTAATACGCTTGTATGCTCTATTCGTGAAGATGTCGAATGTGGTCTTGCTTTTTATTTTTAATACGTTATTAGTGAAGTGAACTATCGAAAACACCTTTTAAAATTTTACAAATAGCATTTTTCAATTTTCTTTTTGTTTTTTCACTGCTTGAATCCTTATGCATATGTCTCCATGCATACAGAAGCTTTCGAAAAAATTGTTTTATCCATATCTTAGAACGGAAGCTTGTACAAATTCTGAAAATTTCAATAAATTCAATGGTCGTTTTTCTACACCGTAGTCCAAATTCTACGGTAATACTTTTTCTTAGAATTAAGTTGCACAAGCTTCAGTATGAAAAAAAAAATTGTATCAATTAAATATCTATACTAATTTTATTACAGACGATATCATTAATGACATTTTACAGAAACTTTTCTTCCATATAATTATGCTCATTTTTATTGGTACGAGAAA